TCATGCGCATTGAATTTTAAAAATAAGTTATTCGTGAAGGAAAATATAAATAAATAATGAAGAAAGTGTATGATTTTTTGAAATTTAAAAAAAGAAGAAAAAAGAAAAAAAAGTATTGGTCTAACTGGGAGCCCTTGAGCATGTAATATTTGTTTTTACTTATTTTATAGAGAATTTAATATAGTTTTTTAAATTTAATAAAAATCCAATTCATACAATGAATTTTCAAAATAAGTTATTCAAGACCTCTAGCCCTTCAAATAGAGACCTTGGCCTCCTTGGAAGACAATGACATGTTATCTATGGGTTTTCGTAGCTCTGAAACCAGCCTGACGCCTTGCCCCTTATCTAAAGGGGGCAAGACCTCTAGCCCTTCAAATAGAGACCTTGGCCCAACTCCCAGCAGAAGACAATGACATGTTATCTATGGGTTTTCGTAGCTCTGAAACCAGCCTGACGCCTTGCCCCTTATCTAAAGGGGGCAAGACCTCTAGCCCTTCAAATAGAGACCTTGGCCCAACTCCCAACATGGTTTAAGGCAGGCCAATAATAACCTCCCACGGCCCGACCTCAAAGAGAGGCCCAACCATTCCAACACCTTATAACTCCTACTTTGGTTACAAGCTCGCGTTACCAAGCTCAGCGAATAAAATGAATTCTTGAGAACTTAATAAGAAGACATCTTTGTTGTGTGAATCCGATGTGGGATTTCTTTTGTTTTTCTTTGTAAGGCTATTTAACACTTGTACATTAATTAAAAATCTCCACTTCATTTTTTCCACAATCATATATTCTTGTTCACTCCAATCGATTGAATTAGTACGTCCCTTCTATCCAATACAAATACTCTGCCTTCTCAGTACGATAATATATATACACCAAAAAATATTTTAGATAAGCTAAATATGTTAAGCTTATTTGATCTAGCAAATAAATTTTAAAATATTCGCCTCTCGTTTCAAAATAAAATCATTACATTTTATTTTTTGCTTTGTATCAAAAAAAGGTTTACACTTTCCTACTTTTAAATCAAGTAACAAAATTGGGGCTTATAATGTTTCTCTTTTTTACATCAATTTTAACCATGTATTTTTTATATTTTAACTTTTTTAAAAATTTTATGAAGTCAATTTGAGATACCGTATTTTGAACAAATGCTTCTTAAATTATATTTAGGAGACTCTCTCTCATCTTTAATGTATTTATTCAATTTGAATTTTTATGTTGAATTTAAAAAATTTAAATTTAAATTTAATAAAAATGACTCTCTATGAGTATTTGTCTAGTTTTGACTTTTAGTAGTCATGCTAATTGGACCTGATGGTGTAAATTACCACGCAAATACAGAGTAAAAGTAGTCGGAAGGGCTATAGGTGGAAACACCTGTAACCCGGTTTGTTATTGATAATGCTAGGACTATTACAAAGTACAAGCCGTGTAGGTTCATTCAAAACATACCTCACAAATGAGGATTTTAGGGGTATTTATAACATAATTAAGCACGTCAAGCACGTCTCAGGTTATCAAACCGGTCATTTGTCTGATCGGTCGCATAAGAGTACTTCGAGAATCTTTCTGCAGGTGGCGTGTGCTCATTCCCTCCAGCCAACCGGTCTCTCGACCCGGTCTCCGAAGTACATGATGGCCATCTTTTGTCACCACCCAGTCAGGCGAACCAACCGGGTGGTATCCATGGGTTATTACCCATCAAGGAGTCCTCCGATTCCCGGTCCTATGGGGACCATCAGGAGCGGGAAGCACATGCGATTATCTTTTGAAATTTGAACTGCCCAGTCGCTTTTTGGCGGGAAAATGGCCTCGGAAAACCAGCGCCTAACCCAAAACATTTGAAATTTGAAATTTGATTTTTGAATTTTCAAAAACCGGGTGTCCAAAGCGGGAGAATCTCATCGAAATCGGGTACAGAGCCGCCGATTTAATGTGCCGTTTCGTCTCCCCGAGAGGTTATGATGACAAATCATTTCAGCTGCCACGTGGCAGTTCTTTATTCGCCCGTCTGGGCGGCATCTCCCCTATATAAAGCGTCGTTCTCCTTGGAATTTCCTCACTTGCAAATCTTCGATTTAAAAAACCGCCCGGCTTCTTCTGCTATTTCCGAGTCCTCCGAGTCTTCTAATCGTTTCCAAGTAAGTCTCTCCTTCCCTTTCTGAGTCATGTCTGACCGTGAGGATAGCCAGAACCCTTCCGTCCATTCGTACGGTTCTGGTGGCCGGTCTCCAACATTTGGTTCCTCTTCTTCTTCTTCATCCTCTGATTCCGAGCGCCCGGCTACTTCTCCACAGAAGAAGCCGGTTGATGCTTCCACTTGCGCTCCTTCTCCTCCCGTGGCGCAAGTGGTCTCGATTGCCCAGACCGGGGACGAGGGCTTCATCCAGCTAGACGACCGGTTGCTCCAAGAGCAACCGTCGTATATGCAGAAGCCCCAGGTCCACGAGCTGCGCAATCTGATGCCTGATGGGTACCAATTGACATACCGGGCAACATGGAAGAGCATCATACCTCTCCACACCGGTACGTCGATTGGTATCCATTACCATTCAATCAAGGACTTGGGTGAATTCTCTATTCACCTATTCAAAGTCCTTTTCCTTGAGACCTATGGGATCATGCCCGGGCAATTAGCCCCAAATGGTCACCGTTTGCTGGCCAGTTTCATCAACGTCTGCCGGTTTCTCTGTATCCCTCTCTCTCTTCGCCTCTTCGATCACATGTTCGATGTCCGGCCCGGATCCAAAGAAACTCTTGGATTCGTGGTGGTGTCTTCCCACCAAGGCCGGGCATTCCTCTGTGGCCTTCCACCTTCTAACAAGAAGTGGAAGGACAAATACGTGTCCATCAAGTTCCCCCCGGCTTCTTTTCCTTTCGCCCAAAATGTCTGGGGGAAGAGAATGAGGCGTCAGGTCAAACCTGTGGAGGCTGATGACCTGGCTCCTTGGGAAGCCACTCTCCGGGCCGGAGACGCCTCCACCCGCGATCAGTACCACGTCGGGAAGTGGAGTGTCTACCCCGGCCGGGAGACCGACCCCGAGCCGGAGATTGTTCCGCCCGGGACGATCCCCGAAGCCATCCCCATCAGTCGGGCGATGGGATCCAAAGCCAAGGCCACAGCCGCCGCCGGTCCTTCACGCCCGGCGAAGAAGAAGAAGGAGAAAGGTCAATCAACCGCCATTCTCTTTTCTTTTTTTTAATTTATTCGCCCAACTCCTTTCTTCTAACCGGTTTCTTTTTTGTTTCAGTGGTGAAATTCCAGTCCAAGTTTCCCATCCCACAAATAGTGGTTGAGGAGCCCTCCACCGCTCAGCCACTCAACCCTCCATCCGGCCAGCCCTTCTCCCTGGAGGAGCAACCCACCCAATCCCATCAGGGAACCAACCAGCCGATTCACTCGGGGGATCTCTTCATCAATGTAGATACCCTCGAGTTCGACACCCTGATGGGAGAGACCGGGCACACATCCCAGGCTGGGAGGGGGGGCCAGCCCAATGAGGAGGTCGAAGCTGAGGAAGAGGCCGCTGAGGAGGCTCTTCAACGAAAAAGGCGGAGGACTGAAGAGGTCAACCAGCCGGCTCACCAAGGGCCCCAGTCCTCTAATGCTGGCAAAGGACCCATAGTGCCCCGGTCTCCACTCCTGATGAGCCGGTCAAACGAGGAGCTTTTCCAAGCTTTTCGTGCCGACCTGTCTGAGGTAACCCCCCTTTCCTTATTGTTTTTGTTGTTTGTTTGTTTTTTTTTTTTTGGCTGAAAAACTTTCCATGTCTTTAAAGCAGATCGGCCGGATCGGGGAGGAGTACTTCGCCCGGCTGGTGAAGTCGACGGACGAGGAGAAGGCCCGGATGGAGGCCATGATGGTCCAATGCCGGAAGGATGCTCAGGCTGCCCGTGAATACGCGGAGAAGACGGAGGCGAAGTGGCTGGAGCACTGCACGGTCTACCGTCAGCTCTACGCCAAACACGACGGACTTCTCAAGGCCGCGAAAGAGGCCGATGAGCTGGCCCAGGCCAAGATCCAACAGCTGGAGGCCGACAATGCCCGGTCAGCTGAGGAGATCGCCCGTCTGAGCGATGAGCTGGAGAAAGAGCAATCGGAGCGGGCTGCCGTAGCTGCTGCCTGGGCTGCCCAAGAGCCTGAAGAGTTTGCCGCTAAGGCGCTTCCTGACCGGGAGACAGCAATCCGCTTCTTCCAAGGTCTGTATAAGCACCCAGTTTCGGCCGGCATTGTGGACGAGATTGGGACTTATGGCTACGAAAGTGGCCAGTGCTCTGAGCGGAAGGCCCTCTATGGCATCCTTGAGCAGCGGATTCAAGGCTTTCGGCCGAAGGCTCTATCTCTGCCCGAGCTGCACAGCGAGGCGCCTGAACCTCCCTTCCCGGGCATCTGAACCATCCGACCTTCTTCTTCCTTCTTTTTTTTTATGATGTAATGATCGGCCTCCGGGCACTTTTGTAAGACAATTGATATTAATGAAAATACTCTCTACATTATGCGCCGAGTGCTTTTTTTTTTGTCTCATTAATTTTTTTTCGAAAGATTGGATACCCGGCTTAGAATACAATTTTACCCAAGTCTTTTCGAAAGATTGGATAATCAGCCGGAAAGATTTTTTTTAACTTGGATTCTTCAACCGTTTAGATTAATAGATAACAGCCCGGCTGTAACTACCCGGCTTAGAATATAACTTTACCCAAGTCTTTTCGAAAGATTGGATAGTCGACCGGGAAGAGTTTAGGTTTTTATAAACTTCCTCCCGGTTTAGTATAACCCTTGATGGCGCATTGACTTTCCCTTTTCGAAAGGTTAATCATGAGCCCGGGCTCTCATGAGGCCGACCTGTTTTCACAATGGCTTAACGCCCTTGTGGAAAGGAAAACCTTAAAGTTTTTCTTCCAAACATCTGGCTCAAACTGGCCGGGATGCTCTCCCATTAGTTAAGCCAAATCGTTTTAACTCCCGCGTCGGTACGGATGAGGTAAAGGATCGGTCAGACCGGTCTCTCCTTTTTTTTAACATGCCCAATTCGATTGGAAATCTAACCGGGTAGATTGGTGTGTAACCAATTACCGGTTGTATAAAAACAATCTTTCTGGAAAGAACAATTTTATTATTGACCGGGAACTCATTACACTATCTATAAAATTTACGCAAGTGGTGAGAGTTCCAATGTCGCTCGACCTGACCGCCTTCCATAGTCTCCAACTGATAAGTGCCCGGTCTGACAACTGCTTTTATGCGATAGGGCCCTTCCCAGTTTCGTACCAGCTTGCCCCTCTCATTAGGCTTACTAGCATCCCTTCTGCGTAAAACTTCGTCATGCACTTGGAAGTATCGCGGCCCTACCCGGTTGTCATGATACAGTTTTACTGACTGTTGATAACCGGCCATCTTGACAGCAGCTATGGTCCTTCGTTCTTCCACCAGATTCAGTTCAGCCAAGTGGTCGATCTCATTCAGACCGGGCTGGTAAACAGTTTCTCTAAACGTTGGTATTTCTGCTTCTACGGGTAACCGGGCTTCGCACCCGTAAGTGAGCACGAAAGGAGTCTCTCCAGTTGCTCTTCTTGAAGTCACCCTGTGCGCCCAGACCGTGTGAGGCAAGGCTTCTAACCACTTGTGTCCTTCCTCACCCAACCTCTTTTTTAGACCGTCCACAATTGTCCGGTTAGCGTTTTCGACCTGGCCATTTCCCTGCGGATATGCTACCGAGGCCTTGCTGTGTTTGACCCCAAAGCTAGCAAGGTACGCAGTGAACCGGGGATTGCGAAACTGGGGTCCATTGTCGGTGATAATGAATTTTGGGGCACCAAACCGGGTGATAATATTTTTCCACACAAATTTCTCACACTGCCGTACGGTTATGGTGGCCATCGCCTCAGCCTCAATCCATTTGGTGAAGTAATCAATAGCCACCATCACGAACTTCTTTCCGCCTTGGGCAACCGGGAAGGCTCCAATAATGTCAATCCCCCACCGGGCAAACGGTATGACATTAGAGGTTGGTTGGTAATATGTGGCCGGTCTGCCGGGATGTTTGTAAAAAACCTGGCACGTCCTACATTTCTGGACATACCTCTCACAATCCCCTACAATGGTCGGCCAGTAGTAGCCTAGCAGGATGATCCTTTGAGCCAAAGTGCGGGACATCTGATGTGCTGCACAAACTCCCTCATGTACCTCGGCAATTACCCGCTCAGCCTCCGGGTTGGTAAGGCAACGCAAGAGTGGTCCCCCAACAGCTCGTTTGTATAAGTGGCCATCGATAACCTGGAAACGTGGAGCCCGTAGGACTACCTTCCTGGCATGTTCCTCGTCATCAGGCTTCTGACCGGTCTCCAAATACTCCATGAGCTCGTACCTCCAATCATCATCTGCCTCGATTATCCCGGATGATGAAGTCTGGCCCGGTTGGATGGCCGCAACCTCAAACCGGTCTGTACTCGGCACGTCTAGTATCTCAATTTTTGCCAATTTCGAGACATGCTCCGGGCAAGCTTGCGTTAATTTCGAAAGCATGTCTGCATCAGCGTTTTCCGACCGGGGTATCCTAGTCAGACGAAACTCTTCTAATTCCCTTAGAAGCGCTCGGACCAGATCACTATACCGGGCCAGGCGATCCTCTTTTACTTCCATCTCCCCCTTGACCTGTCCGACCACTAGACTTGAGTCGGAACGGATCTTCATCCTTTTTATTCCAAGCGTCCGGGCTATTCTGAGACCACCGGCTAAAGCTTCATACTCCGCCTCATTATTGGTGAGTTTGAAGTTGAAGACCAAGGCATGGTAGATCTTGAACCCTTCCGGGGTAGTGAAAACTACACCGGCCCCGCATCCCTTCGGTCCAGAGGCCCCATCAACGGCCACATCCCACCACGGTTCGACCGTATGGGAAGGTCCGGCTTCGGGCTCTAGACCGGTCAGTTCAACGAGGAAGTCTGCCAAGGCCTGACCCTTAATTGCAGTCCTTGGTTTATATTCTATTTTGAACTAAGTGAGCATCATTGCCCACTTGATCAATCTTCCCGAGGAGGTCGAATTTTGGAGAACCGGTCCAAGTGGCTGATCGGTTAAGACTTCCACTGTGTGAGCTTGGAAGTATGCGGTCAATTTTTTGGCCGTTATAAAAAGCGCGTATGCCGTTTTCTCGATGACAGTGTACCGGCTCTCAGCCCCATTTAGTGCTTTACTCACATAGTAAATAGGCCTCTGGTCGTCTTCATTTCTTATCAAAACGGAACTTACAGCATTTTGGGAAATTCCCAGATACAAGTACAAAGTCTCACCCGGTTTGGGTTTTGACAACACAATATCAGAGACTAAGTACTTTTTCAGCTGCTGGAAAGCTTCCTCACACTCCCGGTCCCACTCGAATGTGTTAGCCTTCTTCAGAACCTTGAAGAAAGGCAGAGCCCTCTCAGCAGACCGGGAGAGAAAACGACTCAAGGCTGCCAACCGCCCGGTAAGTCGTTGTACGTCCTTCAGCGAACTGGGCGACCTCATTTCAGTTATGGCCTTGATCTTCTCCGGATTAGGCTCAATTCCACGCTTGGTCACCATGAACCCCAGAAACTTACCGGTCTTTACAGCAAAGACGCATTTCTTGGGGTTGAGACGCAAGTTGTACTTAGCCATAATCTCGAAGCAAAGCCTCATGTCGGCCGGGTGGTTCTCCGCCTCCGGGCTCTTGATCAGCATGTCATCCACATAGGCCTCCATGGACTTACCGAGGAGTGGCTTGAAAAGTCGATTCACCATCCTCTGGTAAGTGGCGCCCGAGTTTTTTAGTCCAAAGGCCATTACCCGGTAGCAATAAGTACCTTCAGGTGTTAAGAATGAAGTCTTCTCCTCGTCCTCCTCGGCCATGAAGATTTGGTGATAGCCTTTGAAGGCATCCATGAAGCTCAGCAACTCACACCCGGCCGTCTCATCGACCATCTGATCGGGACTGGGCAGCGGGTATGAATCCATGGGGCATGCCTTGTTCAGGTCCGTGTAATCCACGCACATGCGCCAGGTATCGCCCTTTGGAGCCAAGACGACATTCGCCAACCAGGCCGGGTATTGCACTTCCCGTATGTGCCCGACCGCCAACAAATCCTTCACCTCTTTTTTCACAAAGTCCCTCCGGACGTTAGCCAAGTGTCTTTTCTTTTGCTTCACTGGTCGGCTCCCTTCCGTCACAGCCAAGTGATGGCATATGACCGAACGGTCAATGCCCGGCATGTCTGCCACACTCCAAGCGAAAATATCTGCATATTCCCGAAGAACTGAGATGATTTCATCTCGAAGTCCTCCGGGCAGATCTCTTCCGATCCGTACCATTCTTTCTGGGAAGGCTTCTCGGAGAACGATCTGCTCGGTCTCATCACCCGGTTCCAGCTTTGACCGGTCTTCTTCTTGAGAGACCAAAGTGACTCTCTCAAAGGCCTTTGTCATTTTCTTTACTGCCTCCAGATAGCAATACCGGGCCTTCTTTTGATCACCTCTGACTTGTCCTATACCGCCCGGGGTATAGAACTTCATACAGAGATGGGCCATGGAGATGACTCCTCGGACCTTGTTTATTCCAGGCCGACCCAAAATAGCTTTGTGAACACATTTTATGTTCACAACTACAAACCTCATCTGCTTCTGGACGACCTGCTCGCCCGTGCCCAGTTTACAAGTTAGAAGGATCGACCCTTCAGCTTCGACCGAGTCCCCGGTAAACCTAGACAGGGGAGTCTTTAAGGGCTCAAGTCGTGTTCGACACAACTTGAGCTTCTCGAACGCATCCAGGTACAAAACGTTAACACTGCTGCCCATGTCAACAAGTACCCGGGAGACATCGACTCCACCCATGTCCATAGTTATCACCAGGGGGTCATTGTGATCTTCTCCGGTGGCGGGAAGGTCCCGGTCAGTGAAAGTGATCGGCTCCCGTCTTGCTTGTTTTGACCGGGGATTGAGGGCTACTGTCCCTACGTAGAGTTCTCGCCCCCACTTCTTTCTTTTGGAAGCAGAATCTCCCCCTTCCGGTCCACCGTAGATGACATGTAAATGCTCCTTGCCGGCCGCTTTCTTCTTCTTGTTTTGCTCGGCCGGCTGTCCTTCAGGCCTAACCCATTGGTTCTTCTTTGGTTTGGCCTGAGCCAGGTACTCCGGATCAATCTCCCCGGCCTCAATCATTTGTTTTATTACTCCCTTCACATTATTGCATTCCGCGGTGTTATGGGAATCAGTTTTGTGGAAGGAGCAATACTTCTCCGTCCATTGCTTTTCGCCGGTCGGTTTCTTTTCCGATTTGACCGGTTTTACCTCCATGACTTCCGCCTTCATCTTACCGGGCAGGTCAATTTCCTTTTTCAAGGAAATTTTTCCCTTTGAATGGCCCTGCTCAGCCTCCCTTTTGGACGATACCTGCGCTTCGGCGTCAGCATAATCCCAAGCTGTATTATAGGCCTCCTGGTAGGACTGGGGAGGCCTCCTGCAGAATTCTTTGTATAGTTCTCCGGACCGGAGCCCGGACACAAGGAGGGACATGGCTGTTTTGTCGTCCATCTCCTCCACCTTGTCAACCTCATCCTTCCACCGGGTAAGGAACTTTGTCAGATCCTCGTGCTCCCTCTGCCCGGCTGTACTCAAGTAGGTGAATTTTTTCATCTTGGTACAGTTTTCCTTAAACTTTTCTTGAAACACCTCAGCCAGCTCATTAAAAGAGTCAATTTCACCGGCCGGCAAGTTATGAAACCACTCGGCGGCGCGGCCGCGGAGGGTTTGAAAAAAAAGCAGACATTTCTCATCCCCGGAAAGACCCATCATCCGCCCACTTTGATGGAGGGTTTTGACGTGAATTTCCGGGTCCTCCTTCCCGGTGAACTTCGGGACTTCGAGTTTCGCCTTTTTTGGAAACGGGGTCTCATGAACCCGGTCTGTGAACGGAGATTCGTTCAGCAGAACCTTCTTCTTTTCTTCCCGGTCTACCCGGCGCTGTAGTTTCTCCAGACGTGCCTCAACCCGGCCCACACGATCCCGAGGTTGTTCAACATGAGATCGGGTCGGGTACCTGGGGTGGCTTTCGGCTTCCTCCTCTCGCGGCGTCCTGCTGTGCTGGGGTTCATCGCGAGGGGGTGGTTCCGTTCGCCTGGTCTGACCAGGTCGTCCGGCTCCTCTCCCCGCACGATTAAAGGCACTAGCTGGGATGGTTTCAACTCCCAGCCGTTCCTTTGCTGACCGGTTTTGATTTCGGCCATCGTGTCCCAGCCTTTGAAAGGCCGACCTCCTAGATCCTTCCGGTTGAACATCCTTTCCCTTCAATTTTTTGAGCGCTTGGGGGACATCCCAATCCTCGTCCTTGCTGTGGACTGAACGCACATTCCCGTCCGAGGTCACCTTTGTCTGTGACCTACGAGACCGGCTTCTTCTAGACTGGGATGGACCCGCTTTATCCATCTCCCCGATCAGGTTTGTTGGGACAATCGGGCGAATGACGTTAGTTTGAGGCGAGGATTGTGGATACAATCCCGGATTGAAAGGCGAAAATCCCCCCGGCTGTTGGAACATGGATATGAAATGTCCAAAATTTTGAAGAGCCTGGCTGTACATTGGATCCAGGGGCCTGGGGAAATTTGAAGGAAAAACGGGAACAGGGTTCACGGGGGAGGTGAATGGGACAGGTTGTGGAATGGTGATGATGGGGGTAGGAATCTGGGTTATTTGCTGAGTACTACCTCCCGGGAACGAAGTGACGTTCTCAGCGGGGGTAGATACTTGTGAGATCACGGTTTCCTGGTTTCTGGCCATGACTTTTTGTAATGGGTCCCACGGGTGGCGCCAATTTGATGGTGTAAATTACCACGCAAATACAGAGTAAAAGTAGTCGGAAGGACTGTAGGTGGAAACACCTGTAACCCGGTTTGTTATTGATAATGCTAGGACTATTACAAAGTACAAGCCGTGTAGGTTCATTCAAAACATACCTCACAAATGAGGATTTTAGGGGTATTTATAACATAATTAAGCACGTCAAGCACGTCTCAGGTTATCAAACCGGTCATTTGTCTGACCGGTCGCATAAGAGTACTTCGAGAATCTTTCTGCAGGTGGCGTGTGCTCATTCCCTCCAGCCAACCGGTCTCTCGACCCGGTCTCCGAAGTACATGATGGCCATCTTTTGTCACCACCCAGTCAGGCGAACCAACCGGGTGGTATCCATGGGTTATTACCCATCAGGACCTTAAAACTATAATTAAATAAAAATTACTATGTACATCCTATATTAATTAGATAAAAAAATATTTCAAAAATATTTTAAAGGGTAAATCTACTAACATTATTCTTGTATAAATGTATAGTAATCGGAGTATATATTTTATTGAATTAATGGTCAAAATGTATTAATTTTGATTGTAAAAAGTCAAAAGGGTGAAATACTTCAATAAGGCTATTTCCGCCCCTTTACCTCTTACTCCAAATCAGCTGGCACTCAGCGCCATATCAGCCTTAGCTGTAATCACAATCTCAATCAGTTCATACTCGTAGTGTTTCACTTCCATTGTAATGGTTGCCTTTCTTAAATATTTGAAATTTTTTTCCTTTTATTCAATTTTATCTTTTATTTTATTATAACAAAGAATCAAAAAACACAAAAAAATAGTTTAATTAAAAGGAAAAATACTAACAAGACATAATTTATATTTAAAATGTGTTTCATTCAAAAATAGTAATAAAACATAGTTCATTGAATTCAAAAATGTTTGACTGAAAATATAACTGAGATATAATATCAAGATTATATATGTAATATTGCTGTCGTTTGATAAATCTTGTGAAAAGATTACTAATGGTATATTACTTGTTACGTAATGACTTACTTCCCCCGTTCGAGAAAGATTTTCTCGAATTGACTTTTACTCATTTCTAGTGAGTGTTGACTATAACATTAAAATCTCCAAAATACCCTCTTAGCTTTGTCCCCACCACTATCCTACCGACACCCCAACCTCACCGCTGCCCCAACCCCACCGCCTACTGCTACCCCAGCCCCAACCACAACCGCGAGTCCTTGTATCGCTGCCATCCCCCACCATCACGGATCTTGAAGAAAGAGAAGACAGAGGAGGAAGGGAAGAAGAAGAAGAAGGCGCAGAGGTTGATTGAGGCACAAATTTCTTTAGATCTAAAAGAAAGAGGGAGGAAAAGAAAAAGAAAAGGAAGAAGAAGAAGAAGAAGAAGAAGAAGAAGAAGAAGAAGAAGAAGAAGAAGAAAAGAAGGGGGACAGATCGGGGAAAGAGGAGACGAAGAAAGTGGAAGAAGAAGAAGAAGAAGAAGAAGACGAAGAAGAAAAAGAAGAACAAGGGGGACAGGCCCGGAAAGAGAAGAAGAAAGACGAAGAAGAAGGAGATGAGTGGCCCAGATGGAAATTAAAGAAGAAAGAAAAAAGAAAGGAAGAAGAGAAAGAAAGGACGAGGAGGGTAATTTTGGGAGAGTTTGAAAAAAAGGTATAATGTGAATATTAATTTCGGACGGTAAAAAAGAGTTGAATGAGAAGATTATTTTTGGACAGAGGAAATACATACAAAAATTATAACCAAAATAGACGTAGTAAAAAACAACACTCCCTCCATCTCATTTAATATCGTTTATTTTGTAACTTTATTAGGAGGGGTGAACAAATTTCAAAAAACAATAAACAACTATCATGATAGTAACAACCTTAATAAGTAAAACGTAAGTAAACATACCGTTTATTTGCACAAACAAGGAAGAATTGGTTGCGGGTCGTAACAAATTTTTCCCACCGGCCAACTTTTGAAAGCGTTGCATATATAATCACTTCATCATCAAAGCTCATAAAAATTTCTTTCTCAAAACAGCACAACAAATAGTCTGATAACAACTCATCTTCCAAACAGTTGTGTAAATCAGTATTGACAATATTCATTGCAGAAAAACTTCTTTCAACAGGTAATACCAATGTCAATTCTATAAGTCGATATACCAAAGGAAAATAAGAGTGATAATCATCTCCATCATCTTCTTTACAAGAGTTTCAAATTGGAGATATTAGCAAATACTTCATTTGATCTCATGTCCAAAATGTAATTTTAAAGTTCATGAATACTTAAGTTCAATTCGATCACTAGAACTAAAATCTTTCGAATACTCCATCCGTCCCTAAACCATTTACCTATTACGCAGAACGAAGTAAAATCTCAAGTTTTTTTCAATTCATTTTATTTAAAAATTAATATATAAATCACATATTTAAAAAGTACATCAAAAGTTCTACAAAATAAGAGGTGGCAAGAATATTTTATTTCATTAAATAGTCAATAAAAAGACACAAATAAACAAAAGTTTCTGTGATGTTTTAATAGTAAAATGTATAAATCATTTAGGGACAAAAGGAGTATAACACAAGTTCTCTTGTGTTTTTTAAAGTAACATATAATATAATATACCTATGGTTTGTAAAGCATGCACATTAACCCCTCTCATGCTGATTTAATTTACTTCTTTTTCAGTATCCACGCACAAGGCATGCAAATGAAAATCATTTTTTTAATTTTTATTCTTTCCATTCTAGAGTATTTGTCTAATTTTTTCTTTTTGCAGTTAACTCGGGTCGACCTTTGCCTTGTGACTATGTAAAAATTGCATGATATATTAATTGGATAAAAATATTTTGAAAATATTTTACAAAAAAATCTAATAAAATTATTCGTAAATTAATATATATTAACAAGTGTAGATTTTACTCCCTCTGTCCCAAACTATTTTTTTACCCTCCGTGCAACAAATATAATCTCATAACTTTTAAAATTATTTTAATTAAAATTTGGTATAAAAATAAAAGTTACAAATTACAGAGTTTTATTTACACCGTCCAAAAATATAAGAAACAACGGAGTACAATTTATACTGTCCAAAAGTATATAAAAAACTAGAGAGTACAATTTACACCGTCCAAAATTGTATGGAGTACAATTTAGTTAGTGTGCTGAGTTTCATCATCTTTTACTACCTATGTTTTAGTGCATTAAAGTTTTTTTGCGCCGTTGTTTTAAAAAGAAATCCCAACTTTTATTTATCAAAACGTATACCAATTTCTCTTGAATCGAATCGTATAGGACCAATATTTTGGGATCAATATTAGGGGTGAGCATCGAATCGATTCAGTTAGTTTCAGGTCAAAATCAAACAAACCAGATATTTTTGGGTATAAAAAAATCAATCGAAACCGAACCAGTGTACTTGAATAACCAAAAAACCGAAACCGATTAAACCGAATCGGTTTCCGTCAGTAATTAAAAACCAAATTGCATGTCTCTATCGGTGTCGTCGTCTTGGACTCTCTGCGAAGAAGGCAGAACGGAGAAGGCAGAAATCAAAAGCAAGTAGGCGGAGACGCGGAGTAGGCGGGAATCGCGAAGAGGCAGAGAATTGAGATGATTGAATCGCATAAGCTTTTACTCGATCCCAATCAGAACGCAGAAGCTTCGAGAAGACGAGAATCAAGAGTAGGCATAGACGCAAAGTAGTGACCAAAACCTAAAATTAGAATCCCAAATCTCAATTGCCAGGTTGAGCCGCTGACTCCACTTAGGAAGACGCCACCGACAATTTCATAGGGGCTTTAAAAAAATTCATATTATTAATTACAGTAGAATACATAAATATTGGTTTACCAAAGCACCAAACAAAGCTTTTTTTTTTTTTTAACGAAATTTTTATTCAAATAAGAAAAAAAAGAAAAAAGAGAAAGGTACAGGGAGGGGAGGACTAGGCCAATGCCCCTCCAGAAATGCATGAAAAAAAACTGAATGAGAAGTGTAACGAGAGAAATACAGATGGTCGTTCCCCAATTATAAAACCCAGGTGTTTTCTTTGGTCTTTTCCCATTTGCCCATATTGGGCCGACGGGCCTAACATACCAAAAGGGCACAGAGTAACTTTTGGGAGTGACGATTTTCTCCATTGTGGTTGATTTGCGGCTAGGCCAGTATCTAGTTATCTCGCTCACCGCTCCAACTTTAAGATTTGGATCATAGCTTCTAGTTTTAATTGTCCTTGGTGCAATTCCCCTCTTCCCCGGTCTTTTGCTGCGTTTGTTCTGGACATCTTGGAAGTCATTAGGTGTTTCCTCCCTTTGGTTACTTGTCTCCCCTTCTTCAATGTAGGACCTGATTTCATAGTGTTGTCCATCCACCTCAAAAGAGTGAAGAACAAGGCCAATAGTAGTTGGGTCATAACTTGCAGCAATAGTTACAGGTGGGGAAAGATTTGTGCTATGTGTAGGATCAGAAATAGTCTCATTATCTCCATTGATTGAAGGGGATAGTGTGCCATCCATCTCTTTCTTGAGGGAAAAAGTGTTTGCATCACTATTATAACTATGGGCTAGAAAATCATCCATTGTAGCAGTTTAAGATTCTTTAGAGGGATGAGAATTCTTCTTCGTACTGTGTGCCTTACAGTTTGTGTGCCTCACAGGTTTTTTCAATTCTGGAATTAGGGTCCGTGTCACTTGGATTTTGGTTGTTCCCCAAAACATCCTCAGCAACACAGATTTGTTCAATCTCTACCAACACAGCTTTGTCTTCAGCAATGTCAGCTGGGTCAGGAGCCTTAGCATCCCTACCATTATCAATGGTGGTTGCCGAAGCTTCAACTCTTGCCTTATTTGTAGTCGTGCCTGTAGCAGATTGTGCCTCGTGAATCGTGATCATGTTCAAGGGTTTCATTAGAATCAGATTGTATCAAATTTGTTTCAACGTGGGCAATAATACATGTTTCCACAGTAGTTGTCTCCTCATTTTCATTTGCTTTACCACGGGTCTCAAAGTGGTGTCCACCCTCTAAGTTCTAGCAAGTGCTATATATATATATATATATATGTGTGTGTGTGTGTGTGTGTGTGTCTATATATATATATATATATATATATATTTAAACTGATACACAAAACCGACACCGAACAAAAGTACCAAAACAAATTGAATTTTTAATTATGAAAAATCAAAACCAAAACCGATTTAACAATTAATTTGGTTTTCGATTTAATGGTCGGCCCGATTAATCTGCACACCCCTAATCAATATCAATAAATATAAAATGGATATTTCTCTATACTTATAAACTGGTCAAAACTGCTTATGAGCAAGTTTTAACTTAGTTCATAACATGTTTCTATGAAACTGACTTATAAATTACTTATAATCTAGAAATAATAAGTTAGTCCTTGCTATTTATTTTTAAACTAGTTTTTTCTTTTCTTCGTTTTGACCAGATTATTTGCAAAATTATTCCTTACTATTTATGAATATTTATAAATATTTTTTTTATCATTGAAGTTTTTATACTTCCATAAAAGAATATTTGACTTATAAACAACTTATAAGTAGAAATTTTCCCTATCAAAAATAAACCATTAAGCACCAACACAGAGAAAATACCGCCAAAATCTCATAGTCATACAAAACCGATTAAAGTGGTGTGATATCAGTACAAACTTGCTCTGGTACCATACCATACTCACCCCTACATATTTTTGTACTCGATGTCTTGAATAAATCGTTCCATTGTTCTTTGTAGCTCGTTCTAAAATATTTCTCATGTTTTTACTTTCCTGATAAAGTAAAAATATGTGGTTCACAGTCTCTCTTTTTTTTACTCTTTAAAACTCCGTGAAGTCAAGGCATGATTAATTAAACTATATCCAACCCAATGATCATGAGTGGTCCGGAGGGTGTGCAAAGTGGCCAACTGCACAGGGTTCTAAAATTTTAGGCCCCCATACTTTTAAATTTGTTAATAATTTTAAAGGAAAAGTATCCAAAAAAAATAGGGCCCAAAATGTAAATTTAGAACCGGGCCAATTTTATTTTTTCTTTTTTCGGGGCTGGCCTGCCAATGGGTCTGGGTTTGGACATGATTGTCCAACGAAAAGTTGTGGGTGAGAGATTTATCAACAGAATTAATAATAAAAGTTTGGAAAGCTGAGGATGCAGCCTAAAGGAGAATTGTCATTATGATATTCCTTTCCTGTATATAAAATTTGAACCTTAGCCTGGAGGCCATTTCATCTGTCTCCCGCCCAGTACGTGCAAATGAAGATGGTAAACAGATTGACCTGTAAGGAACAGATGAACAAAAACTTCTTCATTTTGAAGCCATGAGTGAATAGATTTGACAAGGAATAATAGACTTACATGCTTGAGGGCCATTGTTGACAACAACCCGAAAGCCATCAAGGATTCCTTCCTTCTCTGCTACAACTTTGGCAGCAAAGAGAAGATGACCTAAGATCTCAGTGTGTCTTTCTTCAGCCTACAAAACCCGAAACAATAGTTAACAAGGATTGAATTGATCAATAATATATATGATGCTCAGATTGCTGACATATATCATTTTAATGAAATATGGCTCTACTGAACAATATAAAAGAGTCTACATGAGTTTGACAATTTTTCCAGTATGCAAATCATTCCAGGTTGATTGAGTACAGCAAACCCACTATAATCCCAAATCCCAACTCCGTTAGGATGTGGGGAGCCAAGACGTTCACAACATTACCCCTGTGCTGTTTCTGTTAGACCTTTATGGATTGTTGCATTTAATGCCCAAAATTTCATAGAAAGTACGGAGTAAGAAGTGAGGAAAGTTAAACGTAGAGAATTTTAACATGTAGATGAGAGTTTTTTTTGGGTGGGGGGGGGATAGATAACGTGTACCTTACTAAGTTGTGATAACCCATCCCTTAATTTTGGAATAATTAAAACATGAACGGGAGCTTGTGGATTGATATCCCGGAAAGCAAGAACTTTCTCATCCTCATATACAATGGTCGAAGGTATCTCCTTAGCAATTATTTTATCAAATCTGAAGAGAGAGTATACTAATAATAATAACAACAAAATTTTAGGGTAAAAGATTATGATGCAGTTAGAGTTTAGATGCAACTCTCTGTTACCACAAAGTTCAGAGTGAACTAGTGAAGTACCAACACCTATCAAATGAATCAATAATGGGCTATTTCGGTGGATGGCCTTGGAGGGGCACAGAGGAGAAGAGTTTGGAGGGCTTAGCACCTTAGCCTATAATAATATGTTGATATATATTTGAGATTTTACACACACAAAAAGGTTAACATAATATGTAACATAATAATATCTCAATCACCTTTCATCCCGTTTTAGAGACACTGCATACATCAAGATATGGACTAAACTCTCCAAACTCCCCCAAACATATTTTATTTTTTACGTTGGCAATAGAATCTAAAGATCCTTATTAAATCACAAAGCAGAAAAATGACTCAAAACAAATTAACGAGTTTATAACACAGCGTGTGGAGGAAAAATTACATTGTAGGGGCTTCACTATTGGCAGTTACAGCAGAAATCCTGGCAGAAACCTCTTCATCAGTTGCAGCACTTACGTAAGACCTGAAGATGCAAAATTAAGTAATATCTAGTCAAACCTATCAAAGAAATGCAAAAACAAATGCCAAGTACAAGAAAAACACTCCCCCACGGCCCCACCCCGAGAGGGGGGAGAGGGAGAGATGAAATTACTAAGTGCATGTTACCTAATACTACTTCGTATATTTTTCTTAATAAAGAAGTTTTGGTCTTAAGCATCATATATTATCTTTGATTTCCGCTAGTGCATCAACCAGTCTAAATTAATGAGCCCAAGGCCTGCTTTACCTTTTTTGGGCCAAAATATTAATTTCTACCATTTTGTTCATAATAAATCACTTATAGTAGTAGTTTGTATTTCCATGTAATTTCACATTTCCATCATATGATATGTTCGCGGCTAATACTCCTCGTTATATGCATGGTCTCTAAGGAGGAAGAACTCCGACCTATGGTGATTAGAGAAAAAACTCACACATGCCATAACAACAGAGGGCTCCCAGAAGGAAAAAAGAAACTTTTACTCCATCCGTTAGGATTTCGTCGTCCACTTTCTTCTTTTTGTTTGTCTGGAATTAGTTGTCCACTTTCCATATACAATAAAGAAATCATGATGAATGCTCTAAAATATCCTAGAGATGAGGAATGAGTATTTTGATGACATGAATGAGTGACAGATCCATTTGAAGGACTTATTAAACTCATTTCTTAAAAATGAGAGTTTTTAGAAAGTGAATAACAAATTCTGAACGGACAAAGTAATTCTTTATTCCAAAATAATCATAAAAGATTAAAAAAAATTGCCTATAGAGGCTTACCGCTTACATTCCTAAACGAACAATGAAACTTAGAAAATGACTAGTTGCTATATAACTTCCTAGCCAATAACTCTTTTTTTGGACTTCCTAGTCAATAACTAACAGTGAACAAAATAGGAAACTACCACCTCCGTCCCAAATTAATGGTTAGAGTTCGGTTTACGATTTTTTATTGAAGTTATTTTTAATTCAATTAATTTCACAATTGTTGTAAAAATAAAATACAAAAATTATATATTTAAAATTTATATCAAAAGTTCTACAATGCAAGAGGTGACATTATTATTTTATCAAATGAATAACGAAAATAGGCAAAGAAAGTGAATAGAGTTTCTCTACGAATAGTGAATTCAACTTTTATTTTGTGATGGAGGGAGTAAACGCTAATGGGAAACTACAACTGACATTAATAAGAAACAACAATTATTATTGTTATTATTATTATTAATCTTAATAATAATATAAATAATACCTAATAATAATAAGATAAAAATGTCGACGGAATCATTACACCCCTTCTAGAGATCAAGCTTGTCCTCAAGCTTGCAATCTTGAACATAGCACTGAATGATTTCACCAATAGAAAGTCAGTGTTAGCCTTGTATTCTTGAATAAGATTGACAGCTCTTGGCAGTTTTGGACTAAACTGAAGGTGAGAACAATCGTTTGGAAAGAACCATGAAAGACAATGGTGAATTAGGATGATTTTGGCATACAAACATGGATCCCAGAAGTCTAGATTGTAGCTAGTCTTTGGCAGTTTTTCAAGCGAAAGAGGCTGCAGTGTTGGTGTTACAAAGAGTGTTACCAGCATTCATGGATAAAGTTGTTATTGGCGGAGTTGCTTCAATATAAATGTCTGGTGGGTTGTGGATATCAATTATCTCTTCAGGATGGTGCACAATTTTGGATTCATCCATTGAGATTGGAGATATGTGCCATGAGCGATCAAGAGTTGGGTGAGCATCGTCTAACAAAAACTTTACATTGCAAGTTATCTATGAAATGATACAAGGACTTTTGGACACCATTAACCCAACCTTTAAAGGTACTGGACAAACTTAATCCTGCATTTCAAGAAGCATGTCATTCAGCCAACCTTTAAACCTTATTATTTTCATTATACCAACACCGCCTTAGGCTAGTTAGATATCAATTTTATAAATGACGTGTCACCCATAAATTTCTTTACACGAAAATAAAAACACAACAGATTCACACATATCACCTAATTATGATCCAGAGACTATCTACTTCTTCTTATTGGGGATGATTATGTTTGGAAAGTGGAAAGTGGTGGAAATCCCGCGCCCAGGGGGGAGCTTGCACCGCCGGTCCAACCTTTGTGTTGAGCTTGACTAGTGACACTTGTTCCTGCCTAGCATGAGTTTCCGATCTCTTCCCAATTTTCATTCTCAATCGGAGAAAGTACATAGACTCTAGTCATAAGTAGGGATATGTGTGGATGTGTTTGCCATTTTTTATAACCATATCAGAAATGTAAGATGCAAAACTGAGTTCTAACTAGCCTAACCCGATGGTGGAATAACAAAAATGAAAAGGCGTGAATGTCAGCTCAATGACTTGCTTTTCGAAAAGTGGGATTAATATCGTCCATTGCCCTAAAAGGTTGAATTTAAGGTTTGTTCTTTTGCTCTGAAATTTCATAGTTGAATATTGGAAGCAACTGGAAGGAGTGGGAAAATTGGAAGGAGTTAGAAAAAACGGAAGGAGTTGTAAGAAACTGGAAGAAGTTGGAAAAACTGGAATAAGTTGGAAAATATTGGGAAAAAATAAAAATTGTTCAAAAAAATTGAAAAAATGTTGAAATTGGGACGGAGTGTTTGGTTTACATTTAAGTATGTCGTATCCCATATCCCATAAAGACCATAACTCCCTTAACATAGTATACAAATGATAAATGAAATGTAAATGCATAGTTATAATAACCCACAATCTTAAGAACTGTTTCTTTGAGCATTAGCCATCAAAACATTGCTGCAAAAAGGAATTCAGTTGCTTGCATATGTACGATTCTTAAAACCTACTGTATAAAGATTGAACAAATGAAATTTTAAATATGAGTGAAGTTTTTCATTTTTATACATTAGAATTCTATAATGAGAATAAAAAGAAGAGAAAATGATAAATTTTGATTTTCTGAAGACAGCAACAACAACACAAATTTGCTAAAATAATATTTTTCTTCTCCTCTCTTTGCATTCACAATTGAGTTTTTTTATACATCAACTAAACAAGCATCTAAAGAAGGTAACTATATAAATAAGATGAGCACTAAGCATGGAATCATCCAAACATGTGTACACTATTAAATGACTAACAAGCCCAATGCTCAGTACATGAATTCTCCTAATAATGTGGGCATTCCAAAACTACAAGGAATGATTATTAGGAATATTAATGTTGTTTAATATTCTCTTTCCTAATCATATTTATAGACCTTAACCTAGTGGTATTGGTTGTAATAGCATGATGCCCTATATAAATGCCTATGTACTCTGTTACCATAACTCAATAAATACAATTATTCATTCAAGAATACAGGATAAGTTTTGAATGGTGTCAAAGCACATTCCTTAAAAGGAATGTATTTGGTTGTAGGGACTCATTTCCTAAGCACCCCCTGTTATCGATCACGTTTTGACATAATCAATAAAATTATTCATTCAATAACACAAGTTATACAACAGTGTTGCTTAAGAGCATTTTTGCGGTATAGACTTATCCTACATAATTATATAAACCCTTTTTGTACTCTGTTTACCGTAAATCCGTAATTCCATCAATTTATTCCCTCAATAATACAAAATCAACAACAACAACAACAATGATAATATTAACAATAATAATAATATGAAAAAATAAATAAAAAGCAAATCAAGATAAGATACAAAAATCATAATGTGGTACTCCATTCATCGGGAATTAGTTGTCCATTTTCTTGTTTCTGTTCATCCAAAATTAGTTGTCCCTTTTCTTGATCCAATAAAAAAGAAATTATGATGAAAAGTCTAATATATTCAAGAGATAGGGACTGAGCATTTCAAATGAAAAAGTGACAAACTGATTTGAAATATTTATTTGACATTTTAAGATCATTTTTATTAAATAAAATGAGATTTCTAGAAAGCCGACAACTTAATCGAGACAAAGGGAATAGTTGTTAACGTGAGCACCGGAGAAAGGGGGGTAAACTTTGAGGATTATGCAGAGTGAATAAAATATGATTTTTCTTTCATTTTATATGCTTCTTTAAATAAAATGCTTAACTTAAGAGAAAAAACTACAAAGCTCAAAACATGTAATATCTCTAGAGCAAAATTTGGGCCAACAAAAAAGCACATGTTTTCACTAAAGGGCACTACTGATCAACATTATTAAAATGGACTAATAAATTAGAAGAATGAGGTAATCATAAAATAACTAGAAATGGTTAAATTAGAGAGAAATTGGAGAAAAAAAAATTTTAAAAATGGATTTATAAGTTGGAAGAAGAAAAACCAACAATCACGAGTAAGAATTCAGCAGATGATTAAATACGGTAGAAAACAAAGAGCATCACTTAAAGCTTCTTTATTCAGAAAATAGGAACTAAACCTGCGGTGATGAACTGGAGGATGGAAGAGTGTGAGAGACTGGGGAAGACGATTATTGGACAACCCGATGAAACCCAAAGCGCGGACGGACAGCGGACCCCTAAAAAATTTAAAAAAAAATTAATTCCTTTATTGACATTGTGGTGACAATCAAAAGCTATAGCGTGAGAGGAAATATCAGATGAAGGCGACGCGTTACCGCAAGAACGAACTCGCGGCAGCCATGAAGGCTGCAGAACAGTCCTTGACGTTTCCGGACGCCTTGTCAAAATATCACTCTATAACCCCCAATTTGGAAATGTTCTGTTGCAGGGAAAAAAATTCTTTTAATTTAGAAGAAAAATGCTAGGGGTACACCAAAAGATGTACCCATTTGTCCCTCACCCCTTCCATTACCACAAAAATGGGCAAGAAACTAAAAGAAATTAAATAAATAAAAATTGGAATAAAATGAGTGGTAAAAAAAAGAATGGGGGACAAATGGGGTATACCTTTGGTGTACCCTTAGCATTGCTCAATTTAGAAAGATAGGGGAAGGATGAACTCCCCAAAATGTTCAGGTCTGGATAGAAAAAGGAAAAGAGAGATGCTTTGGTACACCAAAGATGTACCCCAAATGTACATCACATGTCTTTTCACCATTCATTTTTATTTAGTTTTTATTTATTTATTTGAATTGTACATGCAAATTTTTATGGTGATGGAAGGAGTGGATATTTGGGGTACACCTTTGGGGTATCTCTATCATTTTCCTTTGGATAATACTATTTGTACCCCAAGAATTTGTACCCCACCTTGTACACCACATGGATGCACCAACATTTTGTGATGGTGTAATGCTAATTATATTTTTGTTTACGCACCAACACTTGTGTCAGTGTAAATTTTTGTTAACGCACCAACCCTTTGTGTTAGTGTTAACCATCAAAATGTTGGTACATACCTTTGGTGTACATATGGGGTACAAATTTTGGGGTACATGAAGCATGCTCCTTAATTATATGCTTTTATGTTGATAGGCTTAGAGAAAATATGTGTGATTTTGCATTTTGGAGTTTTACTATGTGATTTATGATTTTGCATTGTATTTAGGTAGATATTCTTTTTCAAACATCAACATAAGACGTGGGCTTTTGAGTTGTTTCATAGTAGTACATCCAACTAGGGGTGAGCAATTATTGAATCGATACCGAAATTTTCCAAAAAAAATAGAGAGTACCGAATCGAAAAGTATCGAACTGAAAAAGTACCGAGAAGGAAACGAACAGTACCGAACTGAGTGGTCGGTACGGTATTTGGGAACGGTACCGTACCGACGGTATAGGGTACTGTTTGGGGTACCGTGCCACTGTCCTACATTTTCCAAAATTTCCTTAATCCTTCGTGTTTACGTTTAAAACCTTTTAGATATTAAAAAATGTTTATAGGATGGCTTTAAACATATTTTGTGAGTGCTTTTGAGCTTGTGAATATAGCTATATAAAGTCATATCCTTACATTGATTTCTACCTATATTCTACGCTAGTTTAGTGTTTCGACTTCATCCTTGAGTACTGAATCTTAATAGATTCTTGTTGTACCTAAAACACTTAAAAAAGCGTTAAACTCTTATATCGTTTGTTAACATCAAAACATGAGGCTTAGCAAACCAAGACTAACATGGGTTGCCTTTTCCTATTGCCATTTATCAAATGTTATTGTCTAAGGGTTTTACAAAACAAGCTCATGGTGTTGAAGAACTTGTTGAACCCCTACTCGAGGTAGACATCATACACTTTGAAGGAAGAAATTACAATGATATGTTCCTCAACGACTCACCATCTCATGCTTCTTTTACTTCTAGGGTGACATATCTCTCTACCAAAAATCAAGGACCTAAACGAGCACCTAATGGACCTAAAGAAGCAGCAAACATCTCTTGAGAGCAAGAAATGCCATTTCTCAACATTGCTGAAGCTGGCCAAATAACACAAACCTTATGCAGCACAAGATGAATGCAGTCCCCAAAGGGAGTATCTAGATAGTGAAGCAGATGTTGTTGAGGCCTTAGTAATCAAGACATCAGAGGAATATGATGGTGATGACTAGCTCTCCTACGAACACTTTGTGATAAAACTCTCTCGTATAACACTTTGAGGTTTGGGGTTGTTCTTCCCTTTTTTGTGGTTGAGGGTGTTGTTTTTCCAACTTCTAAAACTTTTTTGCTGAAATGGATTGATAACTTTTGGGTTGTGATGGGTGATGGGTTGATGTGTTTTTTGTTTGTGGGGATTTTATGTTGATGGCAGTGACTCGATTTCTTTTATTAGCCAAGTGTTTTTTAAGGTGACTATGTTTTGAGATGTTGTGCTTTTGGTGACTCTTGTTGCTACATATCTCTATATGTATGCAATCTTGAAGTTAAAACACCTTTGAAGTGCTAGTTCATGCACATGTATTTCTATTTGACCTTGTCATTCTTAAGGGCACTTGGGTTTATGGCTGATAGCTTTACTCTAGGCCTATTTCTGCTGATGACGTGAAGTAGATACAACTATATGTTAATACTGTGTAGGGTGTCTATTGAGTGTACCTACTTGTGCTTGGGTTGAATGTTACTCTTCTTTTTTAACCCAATATATTTTCTACTCTCTCTGTCCCGTCGAAATCTTTCCATTCAGCGTTACGATGCTTGACTAACTTAATTATCAATTTAATTTATTTGATTGTAGGTGTAAAATTTTAAAATAAAAATTATATATTGAAAAATTACAAAAAAGATCTACAAAACTAAATGTGACATGATTATATTATGTTATCAAATGAGTAACGAAAATAGAGAAACAAAGTATATAAAGTTTGACAATGTGAATAGTGTATGTAAAGATTTAAGTGGGTCGGAGGGAGTAATAAACTTTAACACTTTTTATGCAGATAGGGATAGAAGATGTTTAAAACAACTGAGTATTTAGTTTTTGTCAAAAAATTGCCAAAGGGAAAGATTGTTAGTTCCATGGGTTGTTCCCCTTATACTTTGTGTAGTTGAGTTGCAAAACTCATGTGTAGTCATTGTTTTTTGACAAAGCAAATATAGTTTAGATATGTATTAGTTACTACTTACTACCCGTTTTGCATTACTATAGAGCTTTAGGATCCTCTTCGTCATCTCAAGTTGCGAAGAGTCTTTTTATCTACAGAATATGTTTCGCTGATTAAATCAAAGGAAAGTCCAAGCACTTAAGAGAGTCGTGCATATATCATGTATCCCTTCATGTATGCAAGATTCATCCACATCTAGTATTCAAGATCACAAGACGCTTATTTGCCTGGTGATGTAAATCTTGCGAACGAAGCAGGAACTGGACAAAAGTTTCTACTGGAATTCTACTAGGGTTTCTCCCTCTTGAATAAAAGTCGATGCGAAACAGACTAGAAAACCAAGAGAGACAAATAACACGTCCCTTGAAAAAGATATTGAAGAAAGTGCGACAAGCCAATGCGTTAGGCACAAATAGAGTTTGTCGTCAAATCATGTGTAAGAATATTAAGTCAATTCATAGATAGAGTCTATAAAGGTGCAATCTTTACAGTGATTTAGTAGAAGACTGTGATACGGACTTGAGTCTCGCAGACGTATGAGAAATTACTCAGAACAGCGTAAACATGTTGTGTCGTTTACTGCTTTCCTAATTCTATTTTTTATTAATGACACAAAAGGTGTTACGGCACACTATACATCATCTTTCAAAGCTACTTGTGCTATAACAACTTCGTGCCACTCCTTGCAATTTTTCCATCGTTTGCTCCGTGTGTTCTAAGGATTATGGCAATGTTGGCGTGGTCGGAATTGGATCGATTATCGGAAATCTAAGAACTCTGTGTATTTCTATTTTGATTTGGGCGTGCTGGGTTATTAAATTTGGTGGGTCTCTTTATTTGGGCTCTATTTTATTGGTATTGGGCCATAGGTACCTAAAAGGAACTACAACTGGATGTATAATATAACTCCATTTTTATTTGGGCTTATGGAAGGAAGGTGTCTTTGGCCCACTATCATCATCCTCAACACTAAACATTGACGCAGATGGGATTATCAAGTTTCAAAGCACCTTCCTCTGCAATCAGCTCAGCCACTCTGCATTTTTATCTCTTCCGCTAAATTCATTTGTAGGGTTACATAATAAATGGGCTCAACGTTTACCCTTTCTCTCTGCTCTCACCCAAAGGTAACACTCTTCTTCTGCACATTACATGTTCAAGTTCGAATTTTCTCTTTGTTCGTGTTTTATTGCTTTTCCTTCAAACTTTTAGGTATATTTTAGGATCAGTACACGCCATAGGAGCTTACATGAAGAAGCATTATTCAGTTCAGGCTTCTTTTGTGGGCCGGGTGCCCTGAATCAGTCCCCCACACTCTGCATTAGGGTTAGCAGGGGTATAAAATGCCTGAACTCGAGGGGATTAGTGGTGAGAGCGGATTCTTCTACGGGCCATTCTGTTGGATCCACTGTTTCCCGAAGAGCCTACAGGCAATCCCAAGCTCCGGCCTCGCGGGTGAATGAAATTGCATCTTTTGCTCTTCCCACCGGCGGCTTCGTCTTGCTTTCTATAGGTACTAGTTTCCTTGCACTTTCATTATTTTGTAATATTGTTTTTACGGTTGCTGTTTCCTTTATTTTGTTTGCATTGCTATATTGCTCGCGATACCTGTTTGCATTGTTTTACTACCTAAACCCACATTGAAAGTAAGATGCAAGGGATGTTTAATGTAGTTTTTTTATTTAATCCAATATTTAACATGAATTTAAACATTGCTGATAATGACTTCGTTTAACTTCATTCACCCCCATAGAATAATATAACTATTTCATTTAAATACTCGCATACTCCATCAGGTTGAGGTGAGGGGGGTCAGGTGACCTCCCTAAGTCTTTTGTGTTTGCCACTAGAGCTTAGTGCATTTAAATAAAATTAAAACTCTCAATGCATTTGCTAATCATTTTTTTCAGCTGACAGTTATATGGAAACTAGTGGAGAAATTTACTATGCCAAAGCCAGCTAATACTTCAACAGAGGAAAGTAAAGCTACCAAAGGCGTGAAATGGTCATTTGCGCCAGGCACAAACTTATTAGCTGGCTTTGGTCAAAAGGTTGGGAGAGAATCCAAGAAGAAGCTCAATGAGTTTGCAAAGGAGCTCAGGTTGTACAGCAGTGTTGATTTGTCAGGTAGAGGAGCTGTTAGTCGTTTGAGATTTGAAGTAGAAAGTTGAACTTGTAATGCATGCTCGTACACACACCTTACATTCTTTTTAGAGGGGATT